CAATCCTATGTGGGAAAAGGTACATGTGGGAAGAAAATCTGATAAAGCAAATATATTTGAATCTGTATTCCATTTGGTTGCTGAATAACTCCTATATTCTCTCCTCTGGAGTCTTAAGAAACATTACTTGCAGTAGTGTCTAAGTGGATTGTCAAATTCCAGCTTCATTCTTGGAAATTGTTATTTGATTTAATTTGAGTGGTAAGGACTCAATTTGATTTCTTTAAATGCAAAGAGCAGAAAACTACCTAGGTTCCTTGTGAACTGTGTGTAACATTTGCTAACTACCGTTTGAATATTTGCCAGTATGTAATGCTATTTCTGTGGAGGACAGTAGAGAATTTCCGATTTTGAAGCAATGGATAAGGCAGCAGTTATGTTTGCTCCCAGTAGAAATAATCACCGTTAAGTGAACTGGTCAAAAAAGGGCCTTATTATTTTCTCTATTGCATTTAAGTGATTTATATTTATTGTTTAATAAATGAATAAGTCAAAATCTGAATGTTCCCAAAGTGTCCAATAAGACCAAGCAAACAGGTTTGATTTCAGTATTTGGGAGAACTGTGTACAGTGTGAGAAGTTCCACTATTAAGAGAGGCAGTATTGGAGAAACTGGTTTTTCTTTACACTTTTACTCAGAGGAAATTGCTTTCTTTGACTGTTGTGGTGAGGCTCTAACAGCCATTGTTCCACATTTTGCTTTTGAGCATGAGGGAACTCGCTGGGTGACTGTACTGCAGACCAGATCTTCTCAAGGGACTAGAGAAGTGGCAGGGAGTTGACAAGTTTAGGTTACTAGTGGAAAAAAAAAAGCTGCTATTTGATTGCCATTATCCCAACTCCTGTATCTTTTCCAGAATTGGGGCTGAACTTGGAGGGAGAGAAGCAAATGATTTATTGGCTCCCTTATCTCTCAGCCTAAATGTCATCAAGGCATTATTTCAATGGACATATTAAGAGATTATCAGAGAACTCTATGCCTGCTATGAAAGCTGAGCTGCTGCTAGCGATGGAGTCAGTCATTTGCACACTGCAGGAATTGGGAGGTGCAGTGATCAGCATTGCTGGCTGTACTTGATGCAGGATCAGTGGGGAGAGCTCAATAAATCTCTCCTTCTCACAGGAGAGTGGGAGCTATTGATCGCCAGTGGCTCCATTAGCTCTGTATGTCTTCACTGAAATTAAAATCTTTAGGGCTTGATCCTCCCCTCAGATAGCTGTATGTACACAGGGCCTCGTCTAACCTTGTACAAAGAGGTAGGGATTTTTTTTCTTCTTCCCCCTCTCTCATCTACCACCTAGGTGTTTGAAATGAGCAGACCCTATCCTTCAGAATTTTAATAGGCCCCTGTTTAAAGTAGTGTCTCTGACCTTTATGAAATTAAGTAGTAGAGAAAGCATTGCCAGTAAGACTTAACAGATCATTTCTGTCTGCTGGCCAATCTCCATTTGTGTATGTCTGCACTTTTCCTGAGGATAAGAGCTTCTCACAAAGCACCTCCAAGGCTCATCAGGATGCAATTGAAATATGGAAATCAAGTAAATCAGCTATTATTAAATATGATAGACTGAGGCAGAGACATACAGGGTTGCTTATTTCATGCTGGAGGTTTTATCACCTTGATGTACACATTGTGGCCTTGTTATATAAATGACAGGTTCTAAAGTGTTTATTTTGCTCTTCTTTTGATTCTTGAATCCATCAATAGATACAAAATAAAATTGTGTCCTTGATATTATCAGAGGGGTAGTACTGTGCAATTGCTATTGAAAATTCAAGAGCCTCTCATTCAATTATATAAAAAAAAAAAAGCAATGTGTCTTTTTCTAATGTGGTATTATATTCCTGTTACCTGAAACCCAGAGATAGATAGCGAAACAGCCATTTCTCATGGGAAATAATACTTACCCATCTAATGGGACCACTTAAAAGCATGTATATGGAGTCTGAGATTTGCAATAAGGCTTTCTGCCAAAAGTATACCAGCATCTCCGGGGTTGCCTGATGGAAAATCACAAAGCCATATATTTGTGGAAACCATTTAGAAAGATAATATAATATATTACAGCAACTGTTGGTTGAATTGTAAAAATATAAACCACAAATGCATAGTGTGAAATATATTGACCTATACACTGTCTAGACATACTGAAGAACTATTTCCTTTTACAGAGATTATTAAGGAGATTGGAGGCTATCTGTTGTGAGATTAAAATTTATGCTAGTTTAGAGATAAACTAAAGGTAATAAAATTAGCTTGTATATAGCCTTAATCAAGTCAGATGGGCGAGGTAACCTCTGATTTTCCTTTTACTTCACAATTCTAGAGAGTCACTTTTCCAAACAAACACAGCAGGTGGCTAGAAATTTGTTTTCCCCAAAATGTATCAGGTCAAACCAAATCTACCATATATGGTGATCTTAGTGATTTTAAATTAATGGCTTAGTCAGTGACATTATTTAAGGACATTAAAAAGGAAACATTAAGTCCCCAAAATAGCATGGATAGAAAATTAAAAAAAAAATCATATTCAGCCTTTTAACAAAGATTTAATATGAATTAGAAGTATACTTTCTGCCTTTCCCAATAATATAGTCTAAGGGACTATATTAGAAGTGAAATGAAATGAGTCTGGCCTTTCCCCCTGCCCCCAAGGAACAGATAACAAGCACATATACACATGCCAGCTTATTAATGGAAATTCTCAGACATAGGGTATTTGGGTTCTGAGACAATCTGACATGGTTGGTATGATTTAGTTACAATTCAGGGGGGTAAGGGCAGAGAGAATACTATGCCTTGCAGGGAGGGCATGAGTGATGGGTTTTGCAAGGAATGGAGAAAGACTTTGCTGATCTAAACCAGCAGGTGACTCTTTGTGGGGGATTTGAAAGCATTACTGCTCTACTCCTCCTCAGGCTGAGATAAAAAGAGATATCTTGAAAAAACGGAAAGGATCAGCCAAGATTTAATGATTTAATTCTCCCTTTGAGACAGGTATTAAAAAAAAAAAGTGAACTCAAGACCCTCCTCGTATGTTCAAGAAGTGAGTCCTCTGTTTACAATTTACTATATGAGGTGCCTGTTGTTTTATAGTCCAGTCCTCTGCTCTGTTTCTTGTTCAGCTCTCAATGGTTGTTTCATGATGGGTAAGTCACTTAACCTTTGTGAGTTGTATTCTTTTCATCTGCGAATAGAGATGATAATGCTCACTGGGGATGTGTTGCTAAGATTAGGCAATATATGATAGTGAGGAGCAATATATATGCTAAATAACAATGATAATGCTGTCTATCAGAGTGAATATTTGGATAAGAGAGCCGAGGCAGTTTCCTGAATAGCATCTCCTGCAGGGAGAGGCTTTAGCAAATGATTACCTGGTCTGTGGGACTCATGTTTTGTAAGAGAGTAAGATTATCCTCTCCCAGGCCCTCCCTACTCCCTCCATATACACTTGTTAATATTTTGAAAATTAAATACCAAATTGTTCTGTTGAAGAGGGAAAAATTACTAGAATGTCCTGTGACAGTCCTTTCAGTTCCTCTATTTCAGTAAGTTCACGTTTTCTGTTAGGAATTCTGAATTTAGACGTTGGGCCCATCATAATGTTCAGCAGCGAGTCCCAAGACTGTACAGCTGTCCCATGTCTAAAGGTTATCAATTAACTGAACCCGTAATCTCAAGATCTTTTTCTATTTCCAGAGAATGTACCTCCTTGCTAACTTTTTTTTTTCCTATATCTCTTTCTATCACCTAAACCCACCTCACTTGCTCAGATCCTTAACAGGGTTAAAAATGGTATAGCCAGAAGGAAGGACCTCTAATCACCGCCTGTGTGACACAGAGACAAGCATTTTGTTAAGGGCCAAAGGACTGTTACCACCTCTCACTTTCTTGAGATGTTCCTAATGGTATGTTGCTATCTTCTGATGTAAGTATAATGACATAAGGTCACAGCAAGAAAAATGCACCTTCCCCCCAAAAGCAAAGATTCACTGGAAAATAGAGCAGAGAAAGCTCTTCAGTGGAGATTTAAAAAAAAAAAAAGCCACAAATTTCAGAAAGATGGGGGTGAGAGCAGAGGCACATGTCAGAGTTGAATTTCAAAGTTGAATTTTCACCACTTCCTTAATGGAAACACTATGGTAAGTACATTCCACACCCACTTAGTTATTTACCATTTCAAAATTTACTTCATGAATTTTCTGTTCGAACAGAACATTATCACACAACCCTATGAAATAGTTAAGATGGGTATTTTTTCTTTTTTCTTCTTATTCTATAGGTGAATAAACTGAGACACCAGAAAGAGACAATTGCATATTAAATTTTCTGGTTTTTTTAGCAGTCAAAAAACAGTCTTCTAAAACAAATACATTTTTTCATTATTAATACAGCTGTCTGAAAACATTTGTTTATGAATCACATTATAAAGAAAATGGAGCCTCAGAGCTTTAAAAAAGGTTCAACATTAAGTAGAATAAGTGGTAGAATAAGATGTAGGATTTATTCTGACCAATTTTGACAGGATAATATGGTTACAAGGGTATCAGAACGATGCCTTATATTCCTTAAGTAATCCTGGACTGTGTTCAGGGAGGAGGAATTTTCTCTTCATTTCATGTCAGAAAAAATGGCTTAAAAACAAAGACTGCTGGTGATGACATAATGGCTCAGATTTCCGGTAAGGCCTGATTTGGGATATTTTGTGGACAGCGTGGTAATTGAAGAGGGATACGTGATTCTTTGGCAAAGGTTTTCCTCTTTAAAGGAAGACTGAGAGTAAGGAACAGTGACTTAGGTGATGTGGAGGATGTGCTTCATGTACTTGATAGTTTAATTCAGGGATATGCTATGGACGCCTTGTCTGTATTGATTGGAGCTCATGCTGTGTCAGTGGAATGCCCTTCCTTGGATATACCAATTGCTGCATATGCTGGAACATTTGGCAACCCTTGGGGGCCCCTACATTGTTACATAGCCAGTGACAGCACAGGCGGCACAGATGGGCAAAACTTGAAGTCTGAGAAAGCAAACATTTCCCCCTTATCAGGAATCCTTTCGTTGATTTACTTAGACAAGGTTTTCAGGTAACTATTGAAAATGACTGACCTATTATTACCCTGCCTGGCCTTGTGTATTCTTTTAGGCAAAGCTTATGTGACATTGGTATTCAGAAACTGTTTGTAGTGCGTCAGCCTGCTCTTCTACTTGTATACTAATTCTTAATTGTGGTCTGCAGTCTGTGACAACCATATGCCAAAGTAACCACATTTCTCTCTCATTCAGACTCAGTGAAATTAAAATATTTTAACAATAATTTCACAAGGTTAAGGACGTTAATAGTGAAACTGGAGTTGGTATGCCTTTAGAATTTAAGTTGAACATACAGTTTTGCCCCTAAGTATTTGCATAATGTTGTATGCTGTTAAGCATGAGTCATTTTAAAATTAACACTTTGAGCTTTTATGGGAAAGAGACTCTTATCATCTTGAGAGAATATGTCGGAAATGATTTTGCAGATTTAGCAAAATTTTGTGTGCTTGTGTATTCTAGAATGAGAACATGAACAAGTAGAATATTTCTACTTGTGCAGTGAATCTTATTCATTTCCTAAACGAATATTTATTGAGAATCCTACCCAGGATTTCCTACTAAGGAACCCTCAGAAAATGTAGTTATAAATACATGTCATAATCACATCATTTTGAGATCATCTCATCAGTGAGATAATCTTACTGCAGTGAGCCATTTCAATGAGTCATTCTTGGTAGACACTTTTTTTTTTTTAAATAGAATGACCACATAGCAATATAAACTAAATACAAAAGTAATGGTGTGTTTGCTGAAAGGTGATTAGACTTTCACTTAGCCACTTGCCGACAGTCTTATGCTTATAGGTCCTTGGATTCTTTGGTGAAATACCATGTGCTCATTTTTCTCTTGGATTGCTTGAGGTTTATTGACTTGAAGGAGTTTATATAAAGAGGAGATAATAGGCTTTTCCTATTATATAAGTTATAAGTATATATGTTTTATCTGTGTGTGGTTTATTTTTTCCTCGTCTCTATACATGAAGTCATTATACCCAGGGATTGCTTATTCATATAAAAATCAAACTTAAAACATTTAAAAAAATTAGCCTTATATTTTTCCTTTTATGCCCAGTGTATTCACACTTCATAAAAGCATTTTCCAAATTTAACTAGAAATATTTGCTGTGTATTGGGAGAGATGGTTTCTTTGCACATCATTCTACCACATTTCCAGGAATATCACTGGGTTCATTCTGACTTTATCTTCAACCATAGTATGGTTGTCCATCTATTTCTAAAATTTCTCTGGTAGTTAAAAAGTAAATAGTAATTTGTTACCTGTTACAGAAATTTTCAAAGGATCGACAAATTACTCAGCTTGTTCTTAAATTTTTTTCATAAAGTAAAATAATATGGCAATTTACAAATGCAAAAGAATTATTTGTATGTCTTTTCAAAGTGAAACAAATAGATAATCTGACTCTCCACAGATAGAAAGCTTGTCTTGGTGAGATGGGTTAATATGCAGCTGAAACAATTATTTTATTTATAAACCTTTTCTTTCATCCTGTAGATTATTTAATTGAAAAGGATAGTAAGTAAATTGAGGTTTCATTAATATATATTAAGAAGGGCCTCCCCTGGTGGCGCAGCGGTTGAGCGCTGGGCTGCGAAGCTGCTCGCAGCCTCTGCAGCATCAGTTCCATCCCCAGCCACGGGTGAGGGTCCCACATGGTGCGCAGACCTCTCCTGCTACCCGCTGCTCCCCTCAGCAGTGTCCTTCGTCAGTCTGCCTGTTCTGTTCCCCGCTTTGGATCTGGTGAATTCTCTTACCCTCTTGCGCTTCTGACTGTACCCAGTGCTTGTATAAATAAATAAATAAATCTTAAAAAAAATCTATATATAAAGAAATTTTACAGGGATTATTCATAAGCAGAAATTTATATAATATTTTGTAAAAATATTTTTAGACAATGGTTAAGATAATTTTTTTATATTTTAGAATTATTCAATACCTTGCTTAACAAGAGCATTAGTTTTTTTATTTTGAAATTAATAAAGTTATATGTTTCATATGATAAATCATTTTCATCATGCTTACTTTTTGTAGGGCTAATCATCTCACAGATATTAATGAAAGTTAAACTGTGACAATAGATTTCAGTTTTCCACAGATTATGAGTGAATATACATAAATTAATATTGCCAAATAAATTTAGATATGATTTCAGTTTGTAATTTTGAATTATGGTAGACTAAATATTGAAATAAAGTTGCTAATATCTAAAGCCTTTCCCCTTTCATCTTGGAAATCTAGGGAAAGTGCTGTAATTAGTTACAATTGTCTAAGGCAGTGGCTGCTTATTTGAACTATCTGTTTTGGTTAGGTGTTATGAGAAAGAATACAAGCAACAAACCAGATGCTTTCTACTTCAGCTGTTTAAATGTACCTAGATGTCAGGCCTTCTGGGTGATGTTGACAGCTACGATGTAAGCTTGGAGGGAATTCCTTGATAATACCTTCAGGACTAAATGCTACTGAAAAGGCTGTTTTAGAAAACAGATGTTCTAACTACAACAGGAGAGAAAAATAAGGCGAATATATTTGGAATATGTCTGAGTCTGCATTTGTAACCATAAGTCAGTAGGCATTTTTTTTTTTTTTTTGTAAATGCAAAATGAGTCTTTCACCTTTCAAGGACCTGTGTTGCTTGACACTAGATATTGCCAAACAGAGTATATAGTGGGTACACTCAATGGGCACATAACCAAATTGGAACATGCTGATTGCTTATGAACAATTTCTATACTAGCCAGATTGTTGGATTGAATGGAAACCCATTATTTGCCAACTATGGTTTCCATCACCATTAGTGGAAGGAAATTTGTCCAAACACACTATGCCTTGGAGTGGCCCTGCCAGAACTCACTTCTGTGACTATAAAATAGTACATGAATAGTTTTTCATGACTGGGGACAGGGACACACACACACACACACACATCCACCCTTGAATATCCTACTTTTCCTATTAGATCATCTGGATAAAACATAAAAGATAGCAAGGAGTAGCATCCAGCGCTAATAGTAAATATCACCTATATTTTAAATTGGCATATTCATAGGCCTTTTTGGCATAGTTGTGGAATGTCCAGATTGCTTAACTTCCTCACAATGGAAAGCTGGAGTAAAAATTGTGGGGAAAATTCAAATGTACCATCAAATCCTGCAGCTGTTTGGAGAGTCAATATTTCTTGCTCCAGTGCTTCCTTTACATCATTTCTTTCTGGATCTAAAAAATCAAATCTGTGATATTTAGTAGACAGACTGGCTCTCAGCAGCAGTGTCACTGCATTGTCTGATTTTTTTCCAGAAGCAGGTTATTCTTGCAGGGTTTGAGTTCATCATAGTGCAATATAAATTATTTGTGCCAGATTTTTAGACACAGAGAATAGTCTGGGTATAATTGACATATACTCCTTCCTATGAATTCTAAGTGGTTGGATTCAATATACTCTAGACTGTTTTGGAAACTGAGTATACCGTAAAGATCAATGCTTTAACAATGAGCTTGGTTTAGCCACAATGCTTTAAAAGTTGCTGTACACCTAGTCAGCCAAGTCCAGTCACTAGAATCTTAAATGCAAGCACTATTTTGCATTTCATATACCTATAAACCCCTCATATGACTCTCACCTTTCTTGACATTTTGAGCAAGATGTCCTTTAAACATTTGTAAATATACAAATCTGTAAATATCACCATGGGATCTAACTCCTAGAACAGTGAAGTGAACTATAACTAAAAACTGTTGCATAAATGAGAGGAGCGTGTGAGACTTAGAGTTGTATCTAGAAAAAAAAGGACATCTAGGAATCTTGGACATTCAGAACTGCCTATTCACACCTGCAAAATGTCACAAAATTCAGTGTAAATATTTTAACATCAATGAAATGGGATTAAGAACTTGCAAATACATTTGGCTATATAGGAGGAAAGCGTTTTCTTCACACTTAACTACTTTCTACAAATAAACCAGAGAGCCATGAATCACATTTCTCCCCAGTGGACTTCAGGGGCTTAGTATTTGAGAATTTTGATAATAAACCTAAGACATTACCTTTGTAGGATACATCTTTGGATATATCTTTATACCTGAATAGCTGCATACAAAAGGAATTAAAATTGAGATGGGGCCTCCCCCGTGGCGCAGTGGTTGAGTGCTGGGTTGTGAAGCTACCCACAGCCTCTGCACCACCAGTTCGATCCCCAGCCCAGCCTCTGCAGCGCCAGTTCGATCCCTGGCCGCAGGGCGAGGGTCCCACATGGCACGCAGACCTCTTCTGCCGCCTGCTGCTCCCCTCAGCAGTGTATTTCGTCGCTCTGCCTATTCTGTTCTCCGCTCTGGCTCTGGTGAATTCTCTCACCCTCCCGCACGTCTGACTGTACCCAGTGCTTGTATAAATAAATTATCTTAAAAAAATAAAATAAAATTGAGATGTAAGGATATTAACATGTGATACTGATATTACCAGTGTGTCCTAGGAATTGGCAAAGCTCCTACCTAAAAGTAACAATAGAAATATCTCTGGCTAGTGTTGGTATAATATTCTTATCTTTATTCTTTGGTTTTTACATTCTAGTTTTGGGGTTTGCTTATCGATCTCCTGTGTTTCACTTACCCAATTTTTTTTTTGTTAATCTGTTTTGGAAAAGTTTGTTGAATCAGAGCCAAGAGATCTCAAGTACTCTCCTAATAGCATTTAAAAAATTAGAGATTTTCTTTAGAGTTGTAGTTATTTTTGCTAGATTGCTTAGAACTCAGATCCACTGCAATGCTAGAAATTAGGTTTGTGATTCCAAAGAAGTGATTACTTTTTTCTTTAAAGATTTATTTATTTATTTATACAAGCACTGGCTACAGTCAGAAGCTTGGGAGGGTGAGAGAACTCACCAGAGCCAGAGCTGGGAGCAGAGCAGGCAGAAGGACCGAAGTACACTGCTGAGGGGAGCAGCGGGTGGCAGGAGAGGTCTGTGCACCATGTGGGACCCTC